CTCCATTGGATGTAAACCACTTTCCTCACTGGAAAAGGCTTGTTTGTGCCCCTCTGCATCCAGTGCTCATTTCCTTTCCTGCAGACAGCCACTGAGCCTATTTCTACTACTACACAACAGAATTTGCCTATTTTAACATTTCAAGTAAGTGGAATCCAATCAATCAGAATCTTGTCTTTTTTTTAGTTTGAGTTTTGAGATTCACTCCTGTTGTAGATATGAGTAGTTTGTTCATTTTTAGAGCTGTGATATACTCCAGTGTGTGAATATGCAACAGTTTCCTCTATTACCTTTTAATAGAAATGTGAGCTATTTTCAATTTTGGATTTGTTTGTTTATTGTGGTGTAGAGGGGATCAAACCCAGGGCCTTGCAAATGCTAGGGTTCTGTCCCTGGACTACACTTCTACCCAAGTTTTGGAATGTTATGAATATAACTGCAGTGAAAAATTCAACTACAATGGTTTATGTTTTCATTTCAGTTTGGGAAATACATAGGAGTAGAATTACTGGGTCATGTAGTAAATGTACTGTTAAGAAACAGCTAGATTGTTATTTTATCATCTCATCAGCAAGGTATGAGAATTCTAGTTCACGTCTTTGGCAAAACTTAGTTTTGTCACTCTTTATTTTAGCTGTTCTTGTGGGAGTGTAGCCATTCCATATTGACCTATAAGCTTGAGAGATGTGTCTTATTGCTTGTAGAGAAATGCTTGCCCCCTTCCTTCCTTCCTTTCTTCCTTCCTTACCCCCTCCCTCCTTCCCTCCGTCCCTCCCTCTTTACCTCCCTTCTTTTCTTCCTTCCTTCCCTTCTCTCTTTATTTCTTTCTGTTTCTTCTTTCTTTTTTTTTTTTGTTTTTTTCGTAGTACTAGAGGTAGAACGTAGGCCCCCATGTATGGTAGGTAAGTGCTCTCCCACTGAGCTATGCTGTACGTGTTTTAAAACTTTTTATTTTGAGACAGGGTCTTTTTTTTTTTTTTTTGGTTTTTCTCCGGTACCGGGAACCGAACTCACGACCTTGCACTTGCCAGGCAGGCGCTTTGCCGCTGAGCTAAATCCCCAGCCCTGAGACAGGGTCTTGGTATTTAATCCACATTGGTATTGAACTGAAGGTCCTCCCGCCTCAGCTTCCTGAGTGATGGAATTGCAGGCATGCACTACCATGCCTGGGTGCCAACCATTTTTTGGTTTTTGTTTTGTTTGTTGTTTTGAGACAAGATCTTGCTAAGTGTAGCCCAGGTTGACCTTGAATTTAAGTCCTCCTGCTTCAGCTTTCTGAGTAGTAGCTGTGCCACTGTATACCCTGGTTTATCATGTATATTTAATGGACAGCTTCAAAGAGACCAATTACCATTTACTGAAATTTCTTTCTTGCCTGTCACAGGAGGTCAACGTACTGTTCTCCTTACTGTGTAGAATGGCTCTTTGCGTTGGTGTATACAGTGATTGCTTTGTTTTATTTCCATCCATACCTAGTTCGTTATATTCAGCTTCCTTCATAAGCAGTATACAAAGCCTTCAGATTTAGTAAAGCTTTTTCTCTTACTTCTAAGAGTGTTTATATTAGCTTTGCAATTTCCTCAGCTGGCTGAATTTGGTTGAATAGAAGTCTTATTTAAAGCCACTTCCATTACTAGCCAAAAACCTGTCTATTTGGAGCCAAATGTCGGAGAGTTGTATTAAAATTATCAAGTGTATCTTTACAGTGCTGAAAACATAAAGTAGTTTGGGTATCATTTAAATGCATAGAGAAACAAAATTTTGGTCTTATTTGTGGATTTTTGGAATTTTTGGCAGTCTTCTTTTCTTCTAATATTTTATTTTAAAAAATTCCAAACATGGAAAAGTTGAAAGAATTGTATAGTACTTAACATCTTGATTCTGCAGTTTTTAACTGTATTTGCTTGCTCACATATCCATTGAACTTTTTGATAATATATTTAAACTCTTGCTTTTTCTTTTGGAAGAAGTATAGATTGGTAGAGCCTACTGGGTCTGTGTTTTGTGTGGTATGTGGGGCTTAGTGGTTCTCTGATTCGGTGGTCTTAGGAAAGTTAGTGATTATTGTGATGCCTATTATCTGGTTGTGAATTTAATCATTTACTTTCAAATTCCAACTTGATTAGGTTACAAAGGCAAAAGAAAGGATTGGTGATCAGGGAGACCAAATACTACTAGCCTGCTTGTCCAGCTGATACAAGTACCGTAATACAAATAGCTATCATTTATTGAGTAGTTACCCTGTTCTCGAGCTTGATCTCACTGTAGTTCTCACAGTCCATTAGCTAGGAGTATTATTAGACATACTTTGTGTATTAGGAAATTGAGGTGTAGTAAGATTGATTTACCTAAGTTATCTGTTAAATGACACAATTGGTATTCAAACTCAAATGTGTCTGACTCCCACGTGTGTCTGACTGTACTTTGAACCAGAATTTTGTACTACTGAAAGTTCTCCCTTATTGTAAAATTTATATTTTTCATTTACTTATATCTTCATAATTATGCAGATTTGGGGGCCATACCTAATTTGAGTCTAGCTTAGTAGCCTTCTTGTGAAAAATAATTTTACATTTTTATAGCTAACATATTTATGACTGTGAAGATCAGTCTATCTGCCAACATATTGCAGTACTGGGGATTGAACCCAGGGCTTTAGCATTGGTCTGTGTCCCCATCCTCTTTTACTAATTTTGAGATAGGGTCTTGTTAAGTAACTAGCTTTCTCTCTCTCTCTCTCTCTGTATCTCTCTGTGTCTCTCTCTTTTTCTTTCTTGCTCATTTTGAGTCAGGGTTTCACGATGTTGATCAGGCTGGCCTTGAACTCACTTTGTAGCCCCAGGCTGGCCTCAAACTCATGGTGATTCTCCTGCCTCAGGCTCCTGAGTGTTGGGATTACAGTCATGCTTCACCATGCCCGGCCTTGTTTTCAAAGCAGTAATTATTAATCTTTTTGGTACCAGAGTAACCCAGAATTAAATTTTTTTTTTCAGAATTAAATTTTTAAGGAAAAAAATTGAGGGCTGAAAAGTAAAAATTTGAACATCACTTTTTGCACAAATACATAACTCATTAAATTACTTGCATTAACCAAGAATCTTTATCGAGGATATTTTGTTCAGTCTTTAAGATGTCAGTTTCCCTCATTTAGTTCTACCCTTTGCTTTTTCAGTTTATTTCTTCCTACAATCAGTATATTTTCTCAGAACTACTAAGGCTGAAGAATTAGATGAAATCTTTGCCGATTCATAACTTGAGGTTTCCATTTCTTCAACAACAGTCTCTTCATGCATTGCATAGAATTGATGATTTTTTAAAATCTCTGTTTTGACCTTGTCTGAATAAAAAGACCAAATTTCCGTCAATGAAAGGGGCTCTTACTTTTCTTCCATAGTACTAAGTTTGTATGTGAAATTACTGGCTTTTTTGTTTGTTTGTCTATAAGTTAGATAGACTTTTAGGTTGTAAAATGTCAAGAATGCTGAATTTAGTGGCTAGATCGGTAAACACAAAATAATGAAGGAGGCTAGATGAATAATCTCTTGCCCATTTATATAAATGAAAGTTTCAGGTACCAGGCTGACAGAGACAATTCCACTGACTGAAAAGTGTGTGGAAGGCTTGTTACTAAACTTAGCATCATTTTCAGGAAGACAAAACCCAAGTGGTTTGGAATAGAACTGAAAGATAATTTAACTCTAAAGGATAGATAAGCTTTAAATATTAAATGGATTAAGGGGTCAGGTGTGTATTTCTTTTCCCTCTTGGATAGCCATGCTAGGGAACCTTCCGGCCGGCTGCCCAGTGGTTTTTGCTGAGACGGCAGACTGGGCCAGATTCTGGGAAGGTAGTTCAGCTTGCTGAGTGAATTTTGTGAGCCTCAGCATCTTTCTTGACAAAATTACTGTTCTTCCAAACCTTGTACTTTTCCTTATTCCAGCCTTTTGTACACAGTGAAACTGGAAGGAGAATGAATATGTTGATTTACTACATAAACTTAGGTGTGTATTTTTTAGTATGGACAGATTACATAGGACTTCAAGTAAGACAGCAGAGAGAGTCCTGAGAAATTAATGTGGTGATTGAGAGAACAAAGGAAGTTGGGTTCAGGTATTGAAATTTTTAGAGGTAATACAGAAAAATTTTGTGTATGAAAATTAATATTATTTAATTCCCAAGATAATACAACTTGGCATAAAGAAAAATTAAGTTGACTCCCGGGAGATATGGGGAGAAATCAGATTTTAAAATGTAAAGGAAGTATCTTAAGTTATCTTTTTTGTCTTTATTTTTGTCTCATCTTTATTTGTCTCTATTTGTCTGTAAGTTAAGAGAATGCATTTTGTGAAGTGTTGTTTGTTTTTTTGTTTTGTAGTGCTAGGCATTGAATGAACCCAGGGCCTTCATACTGAGCTACATCTCTACCCCTTTTTTAAATTTTTTGACCGAGTCTCACTAAGTTGGTCAGGCTGGCCTTGAACTTGTAATCCTCCTCTCAGCTTTCTAGAGTTCTGGCTGAGAGTATAGGCTTGTACCACCAAGCCTAGTGTGAAGTTTCTTTTTAATAAAATTCCTACGGGCTTTAAAAGGATAAAGAGTGTAATTCAAATGGCAAGACTGTCAAAAGCCATTTTGATTGCTTTATGTACATGCTAAGCTAGGGTGAGGAAATTGGACTAGTTAGCCTCAAAAGCTTTGTTTCCTCCTCAGCTTCTCTCTGTTTCCCATGTGCTTTCCTGAAACTGTATGTCAGATTCTAATATAGAGGAAGGGTAGGGTCTTCTCTTTCACCTGTTTCCATTTTTTCTCCTCTGCCTTAAAGTTTACAAATAGTCTTTCATTTTAGAATCTGTAAAGACTTAAACAAATTTTATGGAACCAAATGAATCTTTTGATTTTATGGTTCATATTGTGTGACACTGGTTGGGGGCAGGAGGGTGGAGATAAGTGTTTGGACCCTTCTGGTTTATGGGATTGTCTTTTTCCCTTTTTCCCCTTAGGAACGGCGTGAATGTTGAGGGGGCGACACACAAGCAGGTGGTGGACCTGATCCGAGCAGGCGAGAAGGAATTGATCTTGACAGTGTTATCTGTACCTCCTCACGAGGCAGATAACCTAGATCCCAGTGACGACTCGTTGGGACAATCTTTTTATGATTACACAGAAAAGCAAGCAGTGCCCATATCGGTCCCCACATACAAACATGTGGAGCAGAATGGTGAGAAATTTGTGGTGAGTGTCAGCCCAACTCGATCCTCAGATATTTAGCTTTCATTTCCCCTAGTCTCATCATTGTGAATATTTTGGAGCAGTATCATAAAAGACTGCTAAGTAGGTCAGTTTCTCTACAAGGAAGATCGTTGCACACATAAATAAAAAGCACTGACCCCGCTTTATCACAGGGGGTGAACTATAGTAATGATGATAAGTCTGTTTCTGCTTAGGTACAACTCTATTTTATTTCCTGACAGTTTCAAGTTTCTCTTCACACATGCAAGTTTGTTTTGCTTGCTAATTTGTTTGTTCCTTTATTGGTTACCATGTCTCTTTGCTTAGTAGCCTTAGTAGCCTCATTTATTGTTGACTCTTTGGAGCTATAAGGCAAGATTAATTTTTTTGAAAAATAATTTTCTGGTTTTGTATCATAGTTTAGATATTTATTTATTTATGTATTTATTTATTTTGGTGCTGGGAATTGAACTCAAGACCTTGTGCTTGCCAGGTGCACACTGTGCCACTGAGCTACATCCCTGGCCCCTAAAGACAAGAGTAATTTTAAAAGGTGCTATCTTCCAAAATATTTGGGTAACACAGAGGTTTTTCCATTTTAGAATCAATGCCTTCTCCACATTTTGTTCTTTTTCATTCCTTTGGAGATGTCTTTGTGTGTGATTAACTCTTGTTTTCCCCAAGTATGCTCTCAATGCAATTTTCATAAGGTTTTTACACAGTTTCAATTTGTTGTTATTGTAGATGTGTAGGAAAACCCATCTTGAATTCCTGAATCCTGCTGTTTTTCAAAACCTAATTGCCAGTGATACACTTATTTTTCTTTTGGTTGCAGTTTGCTTTTTGTGCCTTTGATTATTTTGGACATGTTAATATAAATGTTCATATTTTATTATTCTTTGTAGAAAATGCAGGAGGTTCTGTTAGATGTTGGCAAACACACTGCATGTGTTTAAAGCTGACCTACAGCGAGGTGTGCTGGTGCATGCCTATGAGCCCCAGTACTGTAGGGGGCTGAGGCAGGACGATCACAAGTTGGAGCCTAGCCTGGGCAACTCAGTGACTTAGTGAGATCCTATCTCAGAGTAAAACGTTTTAAAAAGAGCTAGAGATGTAGCTCAGTGCAAGGGCTTTGTTCCCCAGTACTGGGGGATGGTGGGGGAAGTTGACCTATTGATTAAAGTTACAATCTGTAAAACTTGGATTTGTCTCCTGCATAGGAATGCGCTACTAAACATTTATGGCAGTTTTTCTTTTTCCTTAAGTGGAGAAGATGACAGCAGCAGTGAAGCTAGAAAAATTGCAGAGAGATCAGCTACAGTTTATATCTAAGTTTAGCTGGAAATGATAGCACATAGGTTTTATGTTAGCATGGTGTGTGTGTGTTCTTAGGACTAGACATAAAGTTTGAGGTTTTACTACTCTCTTTAAAATAAAATTTTTAAAAAAAGTTTGAGGTTTTATGAATCAGAAGGGATAACTCTGATTGGTAAGGCAGATAAGAAGTTCAAATTAGGGTCAGGTCCTAACAGTAGAGCAGATGTGGATGTTGGCACCTTCTGGGGATTACCTAAGACCTTGAGAACTTCTTGTAGACCTGAGAAAATGAATGAAACTGTCAGTTCTTTTTTAAAAACTCAGCCTTACTGAACATAACTTACCTTTGTTAACATTCATCCCGTTAAGTGTTCAGTTTTATGAGTTTTGAAAATTATACATAGTGTTACAACCACTACTACTACCACGGTAGATATAGAACATTGTTGTCATCCCTCTAAATTCCCGCACACTTCCGTTCAGTTAGTCTTCTCCTACTGCCCTAGTGAATCACTTATCTGCTTTCTGTCACTGTATTTCGCTTTTTTTGAAATGTTAAATAAATTATCCAATATGTACTGTCCTGTGTCTTTGTTCAGTTAGTATAGTCCTTTTAAGATTGACACACATTCTTACATGTAATAGTAACTTGCTCCTTTTTAATTGCTGAGGAATAGTCTACTAAATCTTTCTTCTTCTTTTTTTTCCCCCTGAGACAGGATCTCCCTATGTCATTCAGGCTGGCCATGAATTCACTGTGTAGCCCAAGATGACCTTGAACTCATGCCAGTCCTCCTGCCTCAGCTTCCCAGGTGCTGGGATTACAGGCATGCTCCAGCATGCCTACCTCTCTTGTCTTTATTGATGCACATTTAAATTGTGTCCAGTTTGGGGCTATTATGATTGACCTGCTATGAAATAACATTAATGTTCAGGTCTGTATGTTTTCATTCCTGTGGAGTATATACCAAAAAGTAGAATTCCAGGTACTTGTAAGAAGTGTAAATTTAATCTTATAAGAAAGTACCGGGGATATGGCTCAGCAGCACAAGCGCCTGCCTGGCAAGCGCAAGGTCCTGAGTTTGATTCCTGGTAACAGGAAAAAAAAAAAGAAAGAAAGAAAGAAAGTACCAAGGTATTTTCCATAGTAGCTGTACCATTTTTCCTTTTCATTTGCAGTGGAGTATTCCATTTGTTCTATAGCCTCTTGAACACTTGGTATTTTCAGTCTTTGTTATTGTTGTTGTTGACTCTTTGTTTTTGGAGAGAGCATCGGACTATGTACTTAAAGCTGGCCTTGAATTCACTATGTAGCCCAGAATGGTCAAGTTTTCTTTTGTATGGTAGGGATTGAACCTAAGACCCATATATGCTAAGCATGCACTCTACTACTGAGCTACATCTATAGTCTTCACTCTTTTTAATTCTGGCTGTTCTTGTGGGTATAGTGATATCGCACTTTGATTTTATTTGACAGTTAGTGACTCATGACGATGAACTGATTTGCCTGTGTTTAGTGGCCCTTTGTCTGTCTTGTTTGGTGAAGTATCTGTTCAACTATTCTGCCCTCCTGAGAAATTGGACTATCTTATTAGTTTGGAGCAAGAGATTTTTACATATTCTAAATGGAAGTCCTTAATCAGATAGGTGTTTTGTAAGTATTTCTCCTGGTCTTTGTTAATACTTTCATTATATGCTACAAATTCATTCATACAAATTGTATAACTTGTAGTTTTTAGAGCATTTACAGAATTGCATATACATCACCATAGTCAGTTTTAGAATATTTTCTTCACATTAGAGGAATGCCATTTTCTGTAGCCATCATCTCCCAAACCTTCCATCCCCTCCAGCTGTAGGCACCCACTAATCTACTTTCGTGTCCCATATGTTGGTCCATACTATATAAATAGAATGATGTGAGTTTTTTTTTCTGACTGATTTCTTCACTTAGCATAATGTTTTCAAAGCTTATTCATGTTGTAGCATGTATCACCATTTTGTTTTTATTGCCAAATAACATTCTGTTGTATGGATATACCACTTTTTATTTATCCATTCTCTGAGTGAGAGAGATTTAGATTGTTTCCACTATTACAAAGAATGCTTTTGTGTATAAGTTTTTGTGTGGATATGTCCATGATATGTCTTGTTCCTTCTTTTTTTCCCATTCCTCTCCCCTCCCTTTGTTTAAACTTTTGAGGAACTGCTCAGCAGCTTTCCAGGGTGGTTATACCTTATGTTTAGATTTACAATCCATTTTGAATTGATTTTTATATATATTTTGTAAGGATCAAAGTTCTCTGGTAAAAAAAAAAATTATATTCTTGTCTTTTCTAGGTGCATAATTTTTAAATTTTTAACACATGGTAGATGTACATATTTATGGGCTACAGAGTGACATCATAATACATGTATATAATATGTAATGATCAGATCAAGGTAATTGGATATCTTCATCTTATTTGTGGTCTTAAAGGAAATAATTTCAACTTTTCCACATTCAGCCTGTGAGTTAGTTGCATGTAGTCCTTATTGGGCTTGCCTTCAGCACCCAAGTGGTTTTTTATTTCTTTATTTTAACTAGTGTTTTGAGTGTTTGTTTTTTTGTGTTTTGAAACGCAGTATCACTCTGTAGTCCAGGCTGGTATTCAACTCATTATCCTCCCAAGTATTGGGATGTGGGTCTGTGCCACCATGCCTGGCTTGATTATGGAGGGATGTTGAATTTTAGTGAGTGTTTTTTCTGTGTCTGTTAAGACAATCATGATTTTGTTTTCTTTTACTTTGTTTTTTGAGATAGACTCTTGCTGTGTAGTTTAGGCTGGCCTGGAACTCACTTTGTAGCCCAGGCTAGCTTTGAACTTAGCAATCCTCCTGCCTCAGCCTCTCGAGTGCTGGGATGACAGCACTGGGATTCATTATATTGATGTGATATATTATGCTTATTGATTTGCCCATATTGAACCATCCTTGCATCCCTGGAATAAATTCCATCTGATCATGTTGTATAATCTTTTGTATGTGGTACTGGACTTGCAAATGTTTTGTTGAGAATTTTTGCACCTTTTTCATCAAGGATATTGGCTTATAGTTTTTCCTTTTGTTGTATACTTGTCTTGGCATCGTGGTGATGCTAACTTCATGGAGTGTGTTTGGAAGGAGGGTTTCTTCCTGATTTTATTTTATTTTATTTTATTTTTTATTTAATTTTTTGTCTTTTTGATACAAGGTCTCACTGTGCAGTTCAGGCTGGCCTTGAACTCACTTATGTAGCCCAGGCTGGCCTTGAACTCGCAACAATCCTCCTGCCTCAGCCTCCCGAGTGCTGGGATTACAGGCGTGTGCCACCATGTCCTGCTCTTCCTGATTTTAATACTTGGAGTAATTTTTTTTTCTGGTGCTGGGCATTGGACTCCTAGCCTTGTACATGCTAAGCAAGTGCTGTACCACTGAGCTGTGTCCCCAGCCCTGAAATAGTTTGGAAAGAATTAGCATTGGATTTCTTTCAAAGTTTGGTGAAATTCTGCAGTGAAGTCAGTCTTACTATTGATCTGTTTAGGTTTTCTGTGTCCTTGTGGTTCAATTTGGGTAGGTTATATGTATTCAGAAATTTATCTATTTTTTTCAAAATTTTTCTCATTTGTTGGTGTATGATTTATTGTTGAAAATAATCCCTAATTATC